GTTTCACTGCTTCTGTTATAAAAGAGGCTGCGATGTACAGTGGTTTCATGTAGAGCCAAAATACCAAGAGTTTACTTCTCGCTAGGTCGACGCGGTTAAACGAGAGCATTGCCTGAGGTCACAAGGAGAATGGCGATACGTCGAGTTCATGCAGTCTCAATAAACCTAGATCGCAACTCCGGGCTTATGCTTCCATCATAACACCTTCGTCAGGGACAGAATGGCTAGACCACAGGCTGTAACAGGACATTCTTCCAAAGGCCTCCTTTGAAGCCACACAGGTGTGCGTGGCGCATCTCAGAGCAGAAGTTGTGTTTGCGCCAACTGCATGCAATGATATGTAAGAGTTTACTTTCGAGGCTAAAATTAAAAGGATTGCAGAGGCAAGTTCCAGCAGGGAGCTCTTCTAGATGGTTCTGTTGCACATAAGCAAGCACAGTTTTTTACAATTTCCAAACAAGCCTTTTTCCTTCAGAACAAGCTCTTTGAAGAAAGATATGATTGTTACAGGACCGAAAACTGACAGTTCTGAAGAAACTTAAGAAGAAAGTCTCATCGTATGAATCAAGTCCGGTGCTTTCTTGCAATGCCAAAAGTTGGCACAGAAACGACAAGGAAGAAAGTTTCGATCAGCAAAACCCCCAAATCCGCACTTGCTCGAAAAAAAAAAGCGAACGGGCGTTTTTTTTTTCTTGAAAAAAATGGCTTTCTCAATTTCTTTAGTTCTTCAGGAAGGAGAATATTAAGCTTCCCAAATTTTTTATTGCTCTTCAAGGCTGCGCGTATGAAAATTTCATGACCTTTGAAAGAAGCAACTGCTCACTAGGTTGCATAGCAGTGCTAAAATTGAGTTCCACACTTCGTAACCAGTGGAATCTCCAACTTTTGGGGTGATTTCGGAAGGTCTCTTCAAGCAGATATTTTGTAGATTCCAAGCCCCTTTTTAAATTTCTGGAAACAGTCAAATTTTGGGTTATTTGAGTTTGAAATGCGCTACTCCAAGAGCACCGGTACATCGCTGTTTCCCAAGCTGGATTAAAAACAAAAGGGGTCGCGTCGACATCCCCCTGTGAGGGGGGGGGGGGGAGGGAGGGGTGAAACTTTGAAATTGTATGAACGCGACGTGACCCTGTGCGATACCTTTGACAGTACACCATGCGCCAGCACTTATATCGTCGCGTTCCGCACTATCTGCACTTTCCACACATTTCAGGCGCAAAGTATGACAGCAACCCAAAGTCTAGATCGACAAGGCAGGGCAACGCATAGCGAGCTTTGACCATTGTCGTGCCTGCTTTTCGCTCTTTCCATTTTTCTAATCGTTTTGTTCTATCCAATCCTATCTCAATTTCGAGAAAGCTCAAAATTCACAGCGCCGGCGGAGCATCCGGCGGATTGATCATGGGGCTTGCGTAGCGGCGCGTGGTGCTTGCAGCTTCTTTTGCCAACAGAGCGTTTGGCGCGGTATAAAGGTGACCTGGAAGTCTACATTAAAAATTGCAAGTATTATCGATATCAAACTTTTTGGTTCAGATTTGAAGCGAGCAGACAGAGCAGACAGCTTGTCGACTAATAGCGGGGATTCTACAACTGTATCAACTTCTAATGGAAGAGTGGTTATCGTTGCCATGACAGTTGACTTTGGTACGGAACATGGTAAGCAATTTTATGTAACTTCGGTTTTCTTTCTAAAAGAATTCTCGTTATCACCTTTGTAACTAGACATTTGCGAGTATTTCTACACTCGGTCTTATCGTTCTGTGACTAGTTCACGGCATATCCCCAAGAGCACTTGATAGAGATGCCGATTTAAAGGAAGCGATCACGCTGGCTTCCACGCTGGATTTGCTACCCTCGCGTTATCAATCGATAAGGTGTGAGGCAGTAATTGTTGGACGAGTGTAAGCCCATGGAAGATATGATACGATGAGATAAGAAGGTGCGGCTGCTTGATAAGAGGTGCACTCCAGAATGAAAACGGGACGATAACGATAACGGTATCATATCTAGCACGCTCTTATCGCACCCCTTTCCACATCGATAAGTCTTGGTTTTTGCTGAACGGAAGTGGATTTCGGCGCCTTATCACTCCGTTGATAAGGCGCCACTGCCACTGAAACTTCACGTGTTCTAACATAGGCAGCACCCTACCACTCAGTGCATAGCTTCATTTATCGCTCCATGAATACAGTTCCCATGTCCGTCTTTCTTGAAACCTGGGCATTCTTCATGAGTTTTGTTTAGTGCTGTGCCATACAGGTTTTTTAGGGTGGAATATTTATTATGCCTGACGTTTCGACGATTTCGTCGTTATCAAAGGCCTGAAAGCATATCGAAACGTCTTGTGATGTTGCCGTTCCGCTCATAGCTGAACCCACTCCTACTAAATGTAACAGCTCCCCCGCGCGACTACGCGCGACTACGCGCGACTCATAGAGCAGAAGTTCGAATAACGGTCAACTCACCTTAATTCCACCAGGACGGGCCGCTCAGCTCCGCGAGTCAATGAGAGAAAGTGAGACTGACCGCTTGTGTGCTGCTAGCAAAGTGCGCACGTGCCGTACGTTACGTTTGCGTAATCAGAGCTCACAAAGCGGAATGTATGGCAAGAAATCATCAGTTATGGAAATGCACTCATTCCTGTTATTCATACTCGGATTGCGTTGTTTTATCCAGAAGGCCTCGAGAGTTTTCCTAGCACCGATATCACTCTCGTACGCCAGAATCGTGCACTTAACGTCAAAGTCACAACCCGCATGACTTTCCCTCCTATGTTTGCCAAGCGGTGCGGTAAACTCCCATGAAAATTTATCGTGACCACTTCCTTTAAGACCGCTCGCCAGCGATCGCGATCGCTCCATCGCTTGTCCGTCGCCGAGTGTGACCTCGGTTTAATGGATAATAGAGGCTACCAGCAGTTGGGCTAGAACGAAATCTACAAGTACGTTCTAGCTTCTGTGATTTCACGGTTATTGCTCGAGCAGCCACTTTAGTCAACTCTCATCCCTTCCTGCCGCATGCAAGTGCCACTCCAATGAGTCTTCCTCGCTTGAAAGAGGACTCATTGGAGTGCACATGCACTCAACACTTCATTCCTTTCGTTCAGAGCTTTTGTGAAGTCGAACCATAGGCCCGGTGGTTGTCAAGTGTTCTTTTGACGACTAGAGAGATCCAATACCTATGTCAGGCCATATGGTCACAAAATCGCAGGACGTGTCCGGCCCACCTAGTCTTCGATTCCTCGGCGAAAACGGCAGCCTCCGTGATCTTCTATCGTTGGCGTAACTTGTAACTCCTGATTCCCCTCTGCACTTGCGTGTATAGGGTTACTCCTAGCATCGTCCTCTGATGACGGTTGCGTAAGATTAACCTGCATTACAAGCTTCTTTCTGCGCGACGAGTCCAAGTCTCTGAGGGTTAGGGCTAGGCAGAAGGCCTGTAGGATTGAAGAGGTGCGCACACAGAGACGGATGTCCTATACGCTCACCAAGTCGCTCTTTTTTCTGCTGGGCGGAGCTAGGTCGTCCACTGCTATTTTGATTTCCCGACCCAGGTACCCGCAGCTGGAGCATTCGGAGAGCTGGAGCATTTGTTTCCCCTGTCATTGTGTTCGTCGTTCTTGAGCGTGAATATGCGTTCATCAGAAACCGTCGTTCTCATGACATCGTCGTGGGTTCAGCCCTGTTAGACCGTTTTATCACAAGCGTACCAGTGAAATCCGCCAGCCATTCGCTTGCCTCTCAATGTTCTGTTGAAAGAACGATGTCGTAGCAGAGCGGAGGTTACGCAGTTGCCGGCCGTCTAGTTTTACTCCCATATCTTCCCATTTATCTCGCGCATGACTTAAATATTCTCGAATCAGTTGGAATGAGAAAACATTAAGGTCTGAAGGGTAGGGCGCGATGGGGATCACCCTGAAGCCCGGTCAAAGAAGGCTGTCGGTATTGGATTGGGTCAGCTGCGCTCCATCATTGGAGTGAACCTCTACGCATCTACCATATCTAAGTCAGTTACCAGTGATGACAGGTTGTCGCGGTTTGCAAAGGTAGCACTTGGCTGCACCGCGCGCCTACATCCTGTTGCGCTTTGTACTCGCGATCACGGTGCATGCGCCAACAGTCAGCGCACACCTCGCCTCTGGCTCCCCTCCCAGGCTAGGTTGTTTCTATAAGCTTCTCTGCCAGACGGTGCTCTTCAATGTTTCCAGAAGAGGTGAAGTGCCGTATAAGGCAAGGATGGCAGACGGCATGAAGTGCCTATACGAAGTTGGTTATCGTCACCCAATAAACTTTTTCCTTCCTTAGAACTGCGGACCCTGTCACTGCGCGGGATTATTGCGAGGTAGAAGGAGATATGAACACCCTTTCCTGAGTTAGGAACTCCCTGAGTTAGGACTCATAATGCCCAAGAAGCAGAAGCATTGGCGACATGCGCCTGTGAGGAGCTACCGGGCTCCGAACCACTTGACGCGTCTTGTTGGAACGTAAGGAAGGCGATCACTCTCAAAGCACGACAAAGGAGTGCGATACGAGTATGGCAACAACTGCAATATTTTTCCCATTCTTCCCGGATGAACTGATCAAACGTTACTGTGGATAAACTCATGACTCCATGTTAGTCATACGTGGAAGCGCTGGTGGCTTGATCAACCAAAGGCTAAAAAGTTATAAGGACAGTAAAGAGTAGTGTACCGATCCGGCTGGTCGTTGTGTCGGAATAAACACGAGAACATGCCGAGACTTCAACATTGAGACTAAAACCATGTCGCTGACGCCACCATGTTTCAAGGTCGTCAAGTAAACTCGAGGTCTGACAGTCGAGCTCGTTGAATCCTATCATATCAACGTGTTACGTGAACTAACCTCTTCTCAAGCAGGATCAACCGTGACAATGAAAAATTACCCAAAAATTCAGTACCCCTCCCCATAGGTGTCCTCCCGCTGTGGGCCCCCACACTATCACACGTGAATGAATGCCCATAAACCGACGCAGGTCTTTACCTCATGTGCAACCCACGGCTGTTTCTGCGCAGTGTTAGCGTTATTAATTTGTGACAAGTCGACACCTTCCTCCAAAACTCGGTAGGAGGAGTGGAGGGGTGGGCGTAAATATACTAAGGTCCGGCGCATGATTCATTTTTGCCCATGTTCGCCTCTTCGTGGGAAAATTTCGTTAAAATTAAAAAAAAAGGACGTTGAAAGCTAGCCATACCGACTGCCTTTTTCGGACGGTTGATTCTGCTCCAGAATGGCATCTATTCTTATTGCTCAGCTGTCATCTTGCGGGTAAAAATACGATTCAATGAAGGATCTCGAAATCAATCTTACTGCTTCAAAGCGCCTACCTTCTGGAAACAAGGACAAGGAGGAAACATGTGATCAACTCCTGGGACAGTCGTTTGCTAGTGAACAAGTATCAGGTCGTGATGATGCATACAAGGGAGGCTAAAAAACTCACTTTGCCCATGGCGCACATCATCAATTTTTCGTCGCACAGGATGCCGTTGTTGATGAATGTTTTACGGCAGAATATTCCTTAGGTGTCCCCCATAAGCAGAAGCAGGCCCTCCTTCACTGCCCCCACCGTCTTCAGAATATGACGTCATCTGCCGTCACCGTCGAGCTCAACGAGGCTTACCGTAATCGCTCCGGCCTGAAGCTGCTACATAATTTCTTCAACCTATTAACTGGTGAATAGCTTCTAGCTTATTAACTGGTGAATAGCTCAAGAACGCTTCCAGAGACACTAGCTGTGCAAGACCGCTTTTGACCAGCGTTTCAGAGGACGTCGTAATGGTCTATGGTACCTCGACGACCTCGTTGAGCTCGTACCGTGAACCATGTTTCCGTGGGAAAATCTTCTGATGTCGTCGGTGTAGAAGGCTGTTATGTAACTTTTTGATAGATTAGAATGTGCTCTTTAATATACAGTTGAGCTCATTTGGTTTGGTTTTGCAACGTGTATTTAATTCCGTTTTGAATGTGGAGGGAAGTGACTCTTTTTTGCCCCCCCCCCCCTCCTGTATATTGATGCTAAATACTGCTTGTTGATGATGTAATGTTGACTTGAAAGAAATTTGCGTTTGGTACGAGGTCTCAGAACACTTACTCGCAAAACTCGGTTGTCGGGTTGTGAATGAATACTATGTATGTCCCTTTTTGTCGTTGCACTATAAGATGGTCTGTATTGGTCGTCCTAGTCATTTTAGTCGACTGCCGGAATATTTCGATCTTCAGGTCCATTGATGAATTTGTTCTTCTCTGCTGCAAAGCATGGGATCTGTGTTGACGTAGTTTCGCTAGTTGAGCCCAGCCCTCTTCTGCAACAAGCCGCTGATATAACGGGTGGAATTTTTCTGCAAGTTGAGCGACCGTCTAAAGTTCTCTCCAGCATGATGGTTAGTACTATTGAAGGCGTGAATGCATCCACCTTAAAAGGCTGAGACGTACATAATTTTAGATGCATCTTCTTGGTGATCCAACATCCCGGTCACTATTCCAGCAGCCAACATTGAAGGTATCGTCTAATGTATTTTGTTTTCATAAAATCTTTCTTCGACAACGGAAAA